AGACTGAGCTGGAGCAGGGAGGTCTCGAATTTTAATTTGTTTGTGAGCCAGAATCAGTAGATATTACCAGCATACGTTTTGTGCAAATCATGAAGATGGGTCAGGAGTGGTACGTTTCCATCCTTGCCTGCCTCTCCTCTCTTAGAGTTTTCCTTCCCTTTATCAGATCCCCAGATGCACAGATTTCTGCAGGTCCCACTCCCACAAACTGCTGCACTACCCCAGATCTGCACGACCTGATCTAGGCATTCCTGCTCCAGCAGAGAGACTGGACTAGATGATCTTTCAAGCTCCCTTCCTGTCCCTGACATTCTGTGATTGTGTTCTTCTACCTTCCTGTCCTTGTAACTCTCTTCACCAAAATACCATCTTTTGCCCCTGCCCACCTACTGCATGCCCTCAGCGTAAGCCACTCAGTTTCCTAGAGTACATCAGATTTCACCAACACTTTGTGCTTCATTTTATCCTCTCTCCTTATCTTCTCTTTTTCTACCATGCTGAGCTACAAGTGCAGGTTGTTGCACCACCTGGCTTGTTGCTGCAGGCAGTTTAGAGGAGCAGTTGAACATACCAGATGTAGCAGTGAGGTTCTGTTTACTGGCTGTAACTGCTGTTGTGAAAGAACTTACCTAATGCTCAGGAAGTTACTAATGAGCAAAGACTTTTATAAATACGCTGCTCTGGTGGCCACGTTATCAATGGTCAGGTATCCCTGTCCTCCCCTCACACAGTAGCTGCTGACATGGAAATACTTATTCCTCTTCAGATAAGAGCTGGTACAATGGAGACTTTGAATCTGCTACTGGAGATACATAAGGTGTTTGGTTTTTGTTTCCTTTAAAAACCTCGTGTGAAAATTGTGTGCCACATCTTGGAAGTCTCTTTGTGGAGAACCACGAATTTAGAAAAGCCATCTAAACCACCTAGGGCAGTTGCAGGCACTGTGCTCTACAGGAGGAGGTGAGAGAATATTGGACTGTGGCCTTTGTCCTTTATCCATTCTGCGCATGTTCAGCTGTACAGAGAAAATACATCTCACATGCACAGAGAAAACATCTCACTACTTTCCATGAGTCAAGCAAGTTCTTACAAGTTGCAAGATAAGATGGTGTTGCTGAAGTAAAGCCTTAAATAACTGATTCTCAGTTCACTCAGGACACATTGATTCCATCTCAGAAATTCAGAAAAGAGGAGAGAGTTGTCTCTGTAAGTAAGGTTCCACTGCGACGTAACCCAGTGCTGGGCTCTATGCAGACTTTGCAAACAGTCCCCTGGCGGTGCTGGAAGTATGTCAAGAGTGACAAAGTATGCTTCACTGCACGTATTCCTGCACTAAAGGACCACTTGGTTCTTTAGTAATTTCTCAAAGTCCATTTACTGGCCCTGCATGCTGCTGAACTGTCCAGCTTGATAAAATGAGGAGAATTTGCTGGCTCTGCATTACATGCTGTGTTTTTGTTCTTTCTATCCTCACAGCAAATGGTACGTGTGCCAGCTACTCAATCTAAACTCAGTCTGTGGGGTTACAGTGGTCTGAGGGCTAACCTTCTGTTTTCTACAGACTGAAGAAAAGCAAATAGTTTATCATTCTTGTGGCAATTCTCAGAAAACCTCTTTGATAGGACGTATTTCTGAGCTGCAGATTTTGGAAAATGTGCCCAATTCTAAAATCACAGACACCAGAAATCCATTAGGATCTTTTCTGCAAAGAAGATGTCTGCCAGTGTGTTGGACAATCTGAGTCCCTCTTTGCATGAAAGCAGACTGTGTACAAACTGAAAGAAGAGAAGTATTTATGGGTATTCTGTGTGAACACTGACACAGCATTCAAATGCACTGAACAGAGGCACGTGGCTGTGCGACCAGGCCTGGCTGGCCACCAAGCAGTTCTGTAGGCAACTGAAGCCAGTAAACCACAGCACATGACTGAGAAACTGTTCATGTCTGCAAGCAGATATAGCTCATTAGTGCAAATTCTCTCTAGAACGACATGGCTTAAGTAAGATACAAGTAACATGAAGTTTGAAGACTATTTAGAACCTGTTGTTGCACTCATGAGGTAGTTGAGGGAAAGGTGGCAAAAGAATTTTGCAGTTCACTCCACTGCTGCAGATTGCAGACGGTAAAGAGCAGGTGAGCTGTGTGGTCCATGTGCTCATAGTAGCAGTAACACATTGCATCCTCACAGTCAATGTCCTGGTGTTTCGCTCTGCATACTTGCACGTGCAGTTCCAGGAGTCCTATCCTCTGGTGCTTACCAAATCACTGCCCTCATCCTCCCACCAAATCTTTTGCTGTGAGGATTGAGTGGTGTCAGCCACGTCTGCTCAGGTGCACAGTCCCTAGAAGTCCCAAAGCGTTTTCCTGACTCTGTAGCTATTTTTAGCTTAGTAATATAGATGGGATCTCTTTGATTTTTCCCAGTAGGAGACTCCATCCTTCTGGCTAATTCATTATTTTCTGGATTATTTTCATGGAGCTCTCTGCAACTTATTAGGATATGCATTGTAGTGAAGCGGCTGAGCCAGAACACAATGTTTTAAATTAGACTTTCAAACGTTTTATTTCCTTCTCTGTGATCTCATGATTCTGCATAGCTAATACATCCCACACTTGCCATTCACCAGGCAAATTCCTGTCTCTCTCAGCACCACTACCTTCCATGTTTTAACCTCCCACTGAATGTCTGAAACTCAGATTGCTTCTCCAGTACAGCCTGAATATTCTTAATTTTTCCACTTTGTAATTTCTTAGCTGCCTTTGAGTTTGGAGTCCAACTCTGGGAGCTTCAGATGACCTTTAGAGGTCCCTTTCAACTCGAAAGATTCTATGATTCTGTGAATTATTTCTGTGCACCTAAGGGAGGTATTTTAAGTGCTTACCTTATGGCCACATTGCAAACATTAGACTGTTGTCACCAAAATGGCTGGTGAGATGTCAGGTAAGACAGAGCCCTGTGAAACCTACCAAGAGCACCATCTTTTAGCTGTTTATCTCTAATATACAATGTGGTCACGTGTATTACATGCTGTTCTGATGCAGATTTTGTTGTTGTTCAGTGTTGTCAGAGAAATGTGTTCTTCTCCTATGCTTTCCTGTTTGGTCTCCATAAAAGAAAGCTGGGATTTGACTGCACTACTGTAGGATTATCAATCTTTTCATTCCTGCACACATTTCAGGTTTGGTCTGAGAACTGACAACTTCAGGATGTGTTGAATGACCTCTGCTCTACCTCTGTGGGTCAAGTCTGCATTTATTTATTCTTGTAAGAGATTTCTTAGAGTTGGGCATGAATGGGAAAGCGTACACACATGACCTAGAAACAAGAGGGGGGGGTTCGCAGGAGTCATAAACTCCCATCTGCTCTTTTGTAATCCCCAAATTTAGAAATAAGTAAAATAGGCAGAAATAACTTTGCTCAGTTACCATTACTTGGCTGAATACATCTATGTATGTATATCACATATTCATCAATTTTTAAAAGTGTGAGGCATTTCAGAATACTTGGCTTTCCTTCCTATCACCAAACGTCAATATTTGCACCCATTCTACTTTGTGTTCTTCACTTTTTTCATCTTTAATTCCATAAAACTGGCTTACCAGAAAATAAAATATTACCAAATATGTGGAAAGCAACTCCCTGTGGAACGGAATTTAGGAAATGCAGTTCTTAATTTCACGTTTATCTTTTTTTTTCAGGAGTTGCTCTCACTGCTCCTTACGGGTCCTTTCCAATTCCAGATATTCTACGATTCTATCATTTGTTCTCCCACTCTGAACGGTTTGGGTTATCACATATTCAAAAGCTCTGTATGGCTCTTCGGAACATCTGATTATAAAGCCATATTCTGCATACATTCAGGATAAGACACAACTGCAGCACTGAGAGGCGGGGGCTTTGTTCCAGGAACATTTGTTCTCACATGCTTACAGTGCTGAGTAACTGCAGCTGGTAGGTAGGTGCCCGCCTTTCCTTTTTATTCCACATAGACTCACCACAGAGTTTTTCATACTCTGCAATGAATTATCCATGCATTATTAGATAGCCTTATTTCCCAACACCTCTGCCTAATGCCATGTGGCACATTCCTTGCGTCCTGCAGTAACTTTTGTAGTGATGCAACTCAGAGATCTTATTTTATTCTTTGGGGTACGATACAATTAAAAGCATTGCCTTCCTATAGCATTGTGCAATTGATAGCATACTGCACCCTTTCTGCTACCTTATTGTTGAAGTGATGGAACAGCATCTTCATTTTCCACTCTAATAAACAAAACATATCTTGAATTTATAACCGAGTAGAAGACATTTAACCCTGGATTGGTGTACGAGGGGTGCATAAATATTGAAAGCAAGGATTTTCTCAGGACACCGATGGCACCAAATGAAGAGAAACACAAGTGCTGTTGTAAATGCCTGCAGACTCAAATCCTGCCACAGGCTCTCGGTGGAACAGGAGAAGCTAGCAGAGGGAGGCATGCCCTTTTTTACTGAAAGGACTGGAAAAGATAAAGCTGATATGGGAGCCCAAGTGCACTTCTTGGTCCCAAAGAAATGGGCATGGCCCTCTAGCGACCAAAGTTATTTTAGACTGAAGCAGTCTGGTTTAAAGAGGCTTTAACTGAAGTACTCTTAAATCTTTAAATCTCTCTTTGCACACGAGTATTTAACAAAAATAAATCAGTACCTTCAAATCTGAAAATGCGACATTTAAAAAGAAACAGCTCATTTTTATGAGTTTCTAAAGCTGATCCATGTGGGAACCTCCCTTGGGGAGCAGAAGCTGGCAGCAGATCTGGCATTTCTTGTCTTTTTATTGGACACAGGTAAACTGTAAGCCCTCCCACAGCTTTCCCACAGAATCATTTTTGCAATCCTGCATTGGCGACACTAACTAGGGAGACAGGTTAACCTTTGCCTTTAGTCAAGACTGCTATAAGCCTTCCATGTAAAATCAGAGCCTTGACACTCCCTTGATGTTTGCTATTTTGAAACCTACCTGCCTACTTCTCAGTTCCAAGGTCAGGGTTGGCTTTTTGTTCTTCTCTTTAGGCAGGGTACTGGAGTGAAAATGCAGTTGTCTACAAACAGAAGGATTCGTCCACTTGCCAGCCAAACGTCTCTGTCAAGAAAAAAAAGAAGTTGGAGCTGCCATTATGAAATTTTATTCAAACAAAATAATAGATTTGCCTTGTGTTTTGATGTCCCTCTCATCGGTTTTCAGGTGTTCCCCTGCAGCTCTAAAAGTCTGATTTCTTGCTGCAATTTTTATGAAGTGTTTTGCTCCAGTAGATGTGTGTTAAAGAAATATAGCTGACACCAAAAGAGTAGAGGACATCTTGAGAGTTCTGACTTGCTAAACAAGGTAATTCTACCTGATCTGGTGTAACATTTCAGTCCCTGAGAGGATTCTCAGCCCTGCACACAACCCTGCATTGCTAAGCCACTGCCCAACAGTGCAGTGCAGGTGTTATTAACTGCATATGGCCCAAGGAAGCTTGAGCAGCCCTGATTCCTCACAGATGATCCAAACAGAATAGCAGATTTATCAATTGCTTTGGTTGTGGTCTTTTTTTTTTTTTTTTTTGGTGGTGAGAGGGTATGAGATGTAAAAGAGGGATGATGGAAAGGACAAAAGAGAGAAGGCAAGAGAGAGAGGCAAGTTTCTGGAGCAAAAGGCTGAAGCAAGCTCACTGAGGGTCCTAGCCAGCCCTGTTTACTTCAAGATAGGGAAAAATCTCTGTCTCTTACTGTTGCAACTTATTTTCAAAGCTTTTGCAAAGGGGAAGAGTGGAAGACTGAAGACATTGTCTTCAAAGAAAATAGTCTTTATTTTGAGAATTGGAAGGAGAGAAAAATTAAGGCTGTATTAAGAGCACAGTTGGAAGTTATCCCAATGTGTAGGAAGGACGAAATGATAGCGAGAAACCAGCTCGCCCAGTGAGATGTTCAGTGACCTCAAACAAGAAACTGGTTTTGCATGCTGCTCTGTAAATCAGATCACCAAAATGATCTGGATTAATAAAAAACACAAAACCCATCTTTGTCCTTCCCTTCTCCTTTGTTTTTTGTTAGACTGAGTTGTTTCACTGACACAGCTGATAGCGTAGGCCTACAAACTACAGCATCAGCACAACTCGAGGAGTGGAGCCAGTGCTCGGAGTGAGGATCTCCCATGCCTCGGGAGATGGAATGTTCAAAATGTATGCAGGAAGGAGGTCAACCTTCACCACAAATCCAGCATGGGAAAAGACAAAGATAAAGCAGAAAGAGCCTTGGAGGTAAAACTGGCAATGAGCTGAATGTGCACCAGCAGTGGGACGCTCACAGAGAGAAGGCAAATGTTTGGGCATGCAGAGATGGTGATCAGTTCTGGCACATCATATCACCTTTTTAATCAATTTAGACCTGGGAAAGTTAACATGGGGCTTAGCAACGGACACCAAGTTTCAAGAAAAAGGCAAACCAGCTGCAGAGAGTTGGGAAAACAAGAAGAAAAGCCGATGTGTGAAGCAAGCTGTGAGGAAAGATGAAAAGAATAAGTGCTTTTAACCTACGGAAAGCTGAAAAGCATGGAGGTTTCCAGCTTAGCAGCATTTTCTTCCTATATACTGCTCAGGAATGAAATCTTTTCTCAATGTCTGTCTTCTGGGAAGAGGAATCATTGGATACACTGAGTTGGAAGGGACCCATGAAGATCACTGAGTCCAACTCCTGGCTTCACACAGCACCATCCATAGCACGGGCTGAACTTAGAGGATGTGGAGATGCAGGTTTGTGTTCCCAGTGATACAGCCACCAGTGCTGGAGGACACGGCCTGGGGAGTGGTGTGAGGCTTCCGTCACTGTGGGGCTCAGGCTCACAGGCCTCTGTCAGGGCTGACTTAGGTATGGCAGGGAGGGAGCATCCGCAGCCTCACCGGGCAACTATTTGTTGTCATTTGTGAGGAAGCCGACTGCATTTTACCTGTAGGAAATCACGCTTTCCTTTCTGATCAGCAGCAGCTCTCAGTTCATCGGCAAGGCCGACCTGAAACGCGCATGTCGGTTATCCGCAGCGGCGCTGGGCCGCTAAGCACACCGTCGGCCGCCAACGGCCGCCCCTCGAGCTGGACGTGGGGCGGGGCCGAGCGGTGCCGGCCGCTGCCAGGCGCTGAACGGCAGTGCGGCGCGTCGCTGCGTCCCGTCTCGCCTCATAGCCTCGCCATGGCGGCCGGCAGCGAGGAAGCGCCCGAGCGGCTTTACGAGCTGGTGGTGTTCGGGGCCAGCGGCTTCACCGGGCAGTTCGTGGTGGAGGAGGTGGCGCGGACGGCGAGCGGCGGAGAACTGCGCGGCCCCCTGCGCTGGGCCGTGGCCGGGCGCAACCGGAACAAGCTGCAGGAGGTGCTGGAGCGGGCGGCCGAGCGGCTCGGTACGGACTGCGGCCGTGTGGCGCGGGGGAAGCGGGGCGGGGCGGGGGACGGCGGCCGGGCCAGCGAGCGGGGGATGTGACGGCGGTCTTCGTACGCAGGGAAAGCGGCGCTGGGTCCGGAGGTCGGCGTGCTGCTGTGCGATGTGGGCGACCCGGCGTCGCTGGCCGCTATGGCGAAGCAGACCCGGGTAGTGCTCAACTGCGTGGGCCCGGTGAGTGCTGGGATCTGCCGTGCGACGGTGACCCGCCAACCTTTCGGGTGTTGTAATGCATGGAAAGATCTCGCTGAAGAGTTAGGTTTTATTCTTTTCATCGTTGAAAGGCACCGTAAGAAATCACTTATAAGCCAGAGAGGAGTTCTGGTTTATGCTAGGCGTTGTAAGTGGTGTTCGGGTTGGAAGTAATGCTGAGGGATCACAGAACCACAGAATGGCCTGGGTTGAAAAGGACCACGATGATCATCTGGTTTCAACCCCCCTGCTATCTGCAGGGTCATCAAGCAGCAGACCAGACTGCCTGGCTTTGGAAAGAGAAGAAGCACGTAGAGTTGTGGTGTAAGTTCTTGGCCGCTTTAAACTTTGGAGTGACAATGTCACCAACTGGGTCTGAGCAGATTGAAGTATGAAGCCTGCTGGCTGGGTATTGGCCGGCTCTGTGAAAGCTGTTAGCCACAAAGAACGCAGGTAACGTGCAGAAAGCACAAACCAAGGTAGCGTTGCAAGGTGCTTATTTTTTTTAGCTAACTGCAAGGTGCAGTTGGCTCTGGTGATCTTAACTCAGGAGGAATAACTGTTATCAGTGATGCAGTTTGTTCTGCTCTTCTTGTCCCCTTCCCCCCTACCAAGACAAGATTATTACATTTGCCTCACTTAGCAAAATCAACACCTGAGGCTTACTTCTGTTGTAGGTACACATACTTTAGACAAAACAAGTTGGGTGAGTTGTGTGAGCTTTGTTTTGTTACCTGTGGTGTTTTTTTCCCTCCTTTAGTATAGATTTTTCGGAGAGCCTGTAGTGAAAGCTTGTGTGGAAAATGGTGCAAGCTGCATTGACATCAGTGGAGAGCCCCAGGTATGTGAGCTTAGAAAAATGCTACTCTGCGTTAGGGACCTAGTAAAGCATTTGTTTGTTGTGTTTCATGTTTCTGTGTCTGAATATGCGGGCAAATTTTGCCTCCCAATCTGTAGTTTTAAGGCGCATTGATTTTTTTAGGATATGTTTATGTGTATTATTTGTTTAATTGCTGTTAGATAAGAGTTTTCTCAGGACCTTATTCTCAGTAATTCCAAAATGTTTGAATCCTGCTTTAAATCTTACTTACGATTCTCTGCATGAATTTTGGATCAGTCATTTTCTTCTTGCACTGCTGCAACATTTTCATACCATAAAACAGGAGTAACATGCATCTGTTGTAAAGATACTTGTGAGTAAAGTGAAGTCTGTAGGGTGCTGTGATATGAGAGTACAGTGCTGGTGGTTAATACTGGATATTGCCAAATTTGGGGTTCTACGTATTTTTTTTCTGCTTGTGTTTTAGTTTCTGGAAGGAATGTACCTGAAATACAATGAACAAGCTGCAGAGAAGAAAGTGTATATCATTGGAAGCTGTGGCTTTGACTCCATACCAGCTGATATGGGAGTGCTGTACACCAGAGACAAGTTGAAAGGTGACTTATTTAGCGGGACTATAGGCTGAAAAAGACATGCAGGTTATGGTAAAACAGCAGTGCTTCTGGGGAAGTCTTTCAATCTGCCTTTTGCCTACCTTTACCAATTAACCGGTTGCAACCAAATTTGGTAGATAGATAAAAAATAAAATGTAAATCGTATTCCCACTAGAGTCAAGAAAACTAGTGATAAGGGAGAGGAAGAATTCAAGGTCGTGTTGCTCACTGAGAAAACAGGAGCCTCAGCTATCAGGGTTGGGCCGCTCTGCGAGCGTGTGGGCATCCACACATAGACCATCCTCAGCTCTATGCCACTTGTGCAGTGAGAGTGCTGTAAGGACGAGGCAGGAAGGCACAGTGCACGTGGGGAAGGGATTGCAAATCTGTGAGTAATCAGGTTTCCTAAGTTTTGTCTCTCTACTGCCAGCACTGAGTAGTTGTCATATGGACCTACGTAGGTAGCACTGCTAATATCTTTTTGTCAAGAGCACCTGGACTCAGTAAATATGTTTGAGAAAAGGTGTGAGATGATTTAACTCTATGCAAACAGTACTTGATCCTAACCCAAATGAGGATACTTTGTTCATTGGCTCAGACTTTCAGTTGGAAGGGCCAGTAGGAGTGTCCAAATGTTCTACTTTCATTACTATTGCAATTGCTATTACATGCTTTATGCTGGAATGTATCATCAACTTTCAGTTTAATAAAACTAAATCTGTAGAAGGACCTGATTGGGGAAGAGAAGAAGAGGCGTGGAAATGAGTATCTGGAGTCTCACAGTCTTATAATTGGATATGTGAATAAATTTGATGCTTTTTGAATAAAGATGTCTTTTAGCTCATCCTGTTTTGACTTTCTGGTTTTATCACCTGTCTATCCAGTTGCCTGTTAGATTTAAATTATCTCTTTCAATCTCAGAAGGAGGTGAGCAAAGTAGAGCTAAACAAAACGTGGAGTTTTTGTTTTGCTGTTTATCACAACTAAGAAACCCTTGGTTTAGGATATGTTGTGTGATTTTTATTTATTTATTTATTTATTTATTTATTTTCTTTTTTTAAATTTACTTTTTTTGTTTTGTTTTTGTAGTAACATTTACCACACTCCCATCAGTTCGTCTAGGTTTTCACAGCCTACATCATTCTTTATCTCGAAGCTTGGAGGAAAACTAATTCTGCCTTTAAAATATTCTTCTGCTTTTTTCATTTATTATTTACACAAGCTTATTAACTAGACAAAGCAACTAGCATTTAATGACCAACGACAATATTAATTGTCTGAAGTGAAGTGACTGAAGTACTTTATGTATGAAATTTTATACTTGCTAACTGAAATAGCTTTGCATCCTAATCCTAGTTTATTTTACTTTGAGATAACAATGTAACTCTTCAACTTGTGATGTTGCTGGCCTACCATTTAAGGCTACCAGAGTATGCTCTAGGTGTGTGAACAAACCTGACTGTATGTCCCAAGTAATTACCTTTCCTGTTTTCTCCTCTCTTAAAGGTACCTTAACTGCTGTCGAAAGTTTCCTGTCAGTAGAATCTGGACCTGAGGTTAGTTGGTTGATACCCTTGTGGAAACTCAGGGGTATTTGGGGCAACATTGGCATAGCTAATATGAATAGCTGTTGTTGCATTAGTGCACATCAAGGCATGAGCTATGGCAGTTCTCTGTTTACCAGTCTAAGGACTTTATTCTTTAGGAGCTAATAAAAGTACCCAAGGAAGCACCCTTTTGTAACATTTGTTTCAGTGGGCTTGCTGTCTACCTAAAATTTCTTCTACTACGCAGTTTCAAGAAATAATAGGTAGTATTTGTCGTTGATTTATTTGCACAGAGACTTGGGAAGGATTCGTACACAAATAAGCTGTAGTGTTGCCAAAAGGATGGCAAAGTGTTTGGCTGTCTTTTTGTGTTTGGGTTGTTTTCATAGTGCACGTAATCATAATGCACACACGTAATAATTTTCTAATACCACATAATGATTCCAAGGTCATTATTAAAATAATATCTGAAACCTTTACTGAACTAATTACTGTTCCTTGGCCTTTATCAGGGTTCTTGCATACATGATGGGACCTGGAAGTCAGCTGTTTACGGCCTGGCAGATCAAAACAACCTGAAGGCGCTCCGAAAGAAGATCGGATATTCCCCTGTTCCAGTAGTTGGTGCGAAACTTAAAAGAAGGTATAAGAAGCTTACGACATGAAACAACAGTTCCATTACTTATCACATAGATTATTAAGATATTATTAAATGTTAAAAGGTACATCTAGGACTTTTTTAAAATCTGCACACACATACATGTTCGTCTGGTAGAACTGAAGGTACTGAATTCATATTTGATTGTAAAAGAACATGTTAGCATTTTCTGGGTCTCAAAGTTAACTTATTCTGGAAGACTTGTAGAGATGTGGCAACTTTCTTTCATTTCAGAAGTGATCAGCAGAACAGGAAAATTAGATGTGAGAATCTTATTTATTTTGATTATCACATCCATCCTGGCTGTAGTTCAAGGAGTTATGAGTTGAGCCAGGGATAAATCTGATTCACTGATTTGATTTGCTTTCAGCGAAGAGATCATGTTGTAAAAGTGCTTGAGGGAAAGTCAGCAATGGTAGCACTGTATGGTTTGTTTCTTTCTGTTTGGTGAACACCTGAACAGTTTTGGTGAATGTTCTTTCTATTTGCAGAGGACTTGTGTTTTACAGTCCGGAGTTCAAACAATACTCAATTCCATTCATGGGATCTGATGTTTCTGTTGTGAAACGGTCGCAGCGCTATTTGCATTCACAGTTGCAGGAAACACCCGTAAGTGACTGTTATTTTTGCAGTGTGTGCATATTACAATTTTCAGCAAATCCTCCCTCTACGTAATAATGGTACTTTATGGAGATCTGTGTAGCAGAGTTTCTGTAGCTAGATAATATAATAGTGATTTTTTTCCTTCTATAAAGAAGGAGGCTTGTTCTGTTGATGACCTCTCTGTCAAAATGCTTGACATGATGCAGTGTAGGTTCTTCTGGATGCCCTTTCTCATACTATGCAGCATCCTTCTGGATGAGCCTGTTTTTTGCTGTTAATGAAACAGTTCAGAGAATCTTAGAATGGTTTGAGTTGCAAGGCACCTTTAAGGTCATATAGTTCCAGCTCCCCTGCTACAGGCAGGGACACCTCCCTGTAGTCCAGGTTGCTCAGAGCCCCATCCAGCCCCACTTTCTGGATGTGGGCACTCACAGTCTCTCTGGGCATCCTGTTCCAGTGTTTCATCGTTCTCACAGTAAAGAATTTCTTCCTAATATCTAGTCTAAATCTACCCTCTTCCAGTTTAAAACAATTTCCCCTTGTCCTGTCACCACATGCCCTTCTAAAAAATCCCTCCCCACCTTTCCTGGAGACCCCTTCAAATAGTGGAAGGCCGCTATAAGGTCTCCTTAGAGCCATCTCTTCTCCAGGCTGAAGAGCCCTAGCTCTCACAGCCTGTCCTTGTAGGGCAGGTGCTCCAGCCCCTCTGACTGTCTTCATGGCCCTCCTCTGGACCTGCTCCAACAGCTCCACGTCCTTGTGTTGTAAGACTGTCTTCTAAAGTTTCTATGCTGTCTGAGTTCTGGGTATTTGTAGGGAATGGAAGCTTTGGGTCAGAGAAATATTTAAAAGGGCAGTTTCTTGATTTTAGGAAAGGATGAAGGTTTTTGATTCTGTAACTGCAGAGGCTTTTTGTTGTAGCAACAGAGATTTTAAAAATATCATAACTGTAGCCAGGTTGGTATAACATAGTAAATATTGTCATTAGGAAGTTATATCCTTCTTATTTGCACCTGGAGACTTCTTTGATGCTTGGGTTTCTGATGTGCAAGATGTTTAGTTCTTGTTTTCTATGGTTCCTTCAGAGGAGATCAGCACTGACAGTCTATCCAACAGCTGTGCAGAATCACTGAAGAGACACTGCACTCTAAAAATAGGCTTGTAGCTATTAATGAAAAAGTTTTATTGTTACTAATTCAGAATTACAATACAGGGCCTTGAGTTCTCTTAGATGAAAACATGACGGGTTTGACAGGAAGATGTCAGGAAAGCCTGAAAGGAGATCAGGCCTGAAAGGTGGTCAGGCACTGGAATGGCTGCCCAGGGAGGTGGTGGAGTCGCCGTCCCTGGCAGTGTTCAAGAGGTGCCTGGATGAGGAGCTACAAGAGATGGTTTAGTAGCTTGTGGTACTAATAGGAATGGGAGGGTGGTTGGACTGGATGATCTTGCAGGTCGTTTCCAACCTTGTGATTCTGTGAGATACCAGAAGACAACTTTCTTCAAAGTTTTCCACTTTTCTTTACCATAGTCTTTCCAATCTGTAGTTACAGTGTCTTCTCATAAAGAATTATGAAATGAAGATTATTTAGAATTATGACAGTTGTTTAAGGTTCTTTTCAAACAGATGTTGTATAAAAAAAGTTGCACAGTGCATCTTTATAAAGAAATTCATGCAAAAATGCTGATATAAATTCTATCACTGGTGTTTTTCTGTTGTAGGTACAGTACAGTGCTTATGTGACTGTAGGTGGTCTTGGCTCTGTTATGAAGCTGATGTTTGCTGGCATTTTATTTCTTCTTCTTGTGAAATTTAGCTTTGGAAGAAAACTCCTGACAAAAGTAAGCATTCAAAGTGCAAAAGAATTAAAGAATCAAGTGGTGGGAGTCTTTTTGCTCTCTCTAATTTGGTTTGTTTTTTTTTTTTTTAATTGTTTTTCTTTGCCTTCTCATTATGCAGTACCCAGAATTTTTCTCTGCTGGACGCTTCACAAAGAAAGGACCAACCCAGAAACAGGTAACTGGCTGCTTTCCATCCCACCTAATAAGAAATTTGTGGTAATGGTACAGTTGTAAACTGGCATCCACCACATAGTCTCAAAGAAACAAATCATTTCTGAATACACACTGTGCATACCTGTTCAGATAGCTTTGACTATTCAAAAAGTCATGTTGTCTGGCAGTGGGACATCAAAATAGGTAGAGCTCTTGTAAGGAAAAAGTGGATCATATTGCTGGCTCTGATGTATTAATATGAATAGCTCGCAGTATATAGAGTGCAACAAAATCAAGCCTGAAAGCAAGGAGAAAATAAATGGACTTTAGGGCAATAACTGTTCCAATAAAGTGGAAGTGATCAGAATATCCAAATTATGTAAATGCAATGGTGCCTTTTAAATAATAACTCAAAGTAACTGCTCTCAGTGGATTATAGTGCTTTACTACTTCTATTTGCTTGATACAAGTGCAGGAGTGTTTTGGTGACTTGCCACTTGCCTTACTCACTACAGATGGATGGAACCTCCTTCACAATGACATTTTTTGGTGAGGGTTACAGTGAGGGGCAAGATCCGCAGAATGGCAAACCAAATGTAAAGATCTGCACTCAAGTGAAGGGACCAGGTATGTATGTTAGCAGCTAACTGCTTTTGGCTCACATTTCCTCATGTGATAAAGGTGTGTGGTTCCACTACCATCCCTTTGCCCTTGCAAAGTGCTTGCAACATGCACTAAGTCAACAGTATTTACAGAATATGATCTTGGATACCAGCATTCATTTTAACCTGCTTTTTGAAAAAGCTAACTGTGTTTTGTGCTTGACATTCTCTTTTCTTGTGCCTGTCATCATACCAATTCTCATTTTTGCCAGAGTAGAATAGGAAAGGGAGAGTGACTTAAGGGTGGTTCGTAGAACCTGGGTTACTAGACATTTTTACTAGACATTAGACTTTCCAGTCCCTTGTGAGTGAACCTAAAATCCGTATGTTATATGGTGTTATTTTTAGCTGTACATATTAGTGTTCAGGCCATTCCTGAAATGAAGTTTTGGAGGCAGCAACAACGTACATTTAGAAGGGAGTTAGCTAACCACTATTACTTTAAACAACAAAATATGTAGCTGACTGCAAATAGTGTTACATCAAAAGGTCTGAATTTAAGCACAGAATGGGTTGGCTCGTGCTAAAATGTAGAGCTCTCTGGCACTCCAGAGGTGATACTCAAGGTTCTCATGTGATCCCAGGCCTGTAGCTGAAGCTGGTACTTGTCCACATTAGTTCTACAGGACTCTCAAAGCTACTCTGAATGATTACCAGGTAACAAACTTGTTCTTAAACAGAGATATCAGTTTAGATTGGCAGAGATTATCTTTAGCATTCCATATATAAGAGCGAGATTAGAAATGTGAATCAGTGTTTCAACGCGCTGGTTTTTTTTTTTATTAGAGCCTGGCTATGTTGCTACACCAATTGCAATGGTTCAAGCAGCTGTTGCTCTTCTGGAAGATTCGGCTCATCTGCCTAAAGAGTGAGTACTTTGCAGAACAGCTTGATTTCCCTTACAGCTCCTCTCTTTGATAGAACAGATTCTCTATTACTCTGTGGATTGCTTTGTCACCTCACCCAAAGGGCAGTGGTATTAAACACGATCCTTGCTAGACAGTGGAGATGGTTCTTTTGCATTTCAATTTGAAAAGATGTTGTAGTTTTAGTAACATTTTTGCCACACCATTGAACCAGACTCTCTCTTTTCAGTCAAGGAATAATTTCTGTGAGTTTGGTGGATGCATAAATGAACCTCTAAATATAACAAGCTTGCCCGATTCCTCCTGTACTCCCTCCTGGACAAAATGGCTTTTCCCTTCCTAGATAGGGAAGCACATTTCAAATAAAGGTGTTGCTGAGCCACTTCACCACTAATGGTTTTTCTCTTTTGACTGTTGTTAACAGGGGTGGTGTGTATTCTCCAGGAGCTGCCTTCTCTAAAACAAAACTGATTGATCGCCTCAGCAAACGTGGTGTTGAGTTCTCTGTTATTAGCCAGCCAGAAGTCTGACATCAAAAAAGCCGTGTGACCTAACATCTTACCTGCACCTCATTCCAATAAAGCTCATTGGGCTGTAAAAGCCTCCTCATAAAATAGTTGCATTGTGCTGTTGTTTACAGCAGAAACAGGTGAAAATTGAGTTTAAAATTGTGATGTGAGAAAACACAGAAAGGATACTTCTTAATTCACGAACATATAAAATCAGTGATTTATTAGGTACTAGAACTTTGTTTAATGTCTTTCACCTTAAGTTGCAGAACAGCAGCCTCAGTTACTGCTTAATTCATTCTGCTTCACAATTAACCACAGTCTTCTCGCCCCAACTATTTAAAGCAGGCAGGCCCTGGCTGTCAAGTGCCTTAGCAGAGGAAACTGCTAGTTAATCCTCATGTCTGCTTGGGATAGGCACTATTAGTTTGTGGTGTTACTACTTTGAAAGCCTTACTACCCATAGTCAAATAAAAGTAGTTTTTCTCCTCAGGTTTGAGGAACAGAATTGTCTTTTTGCTGTATTATTCTAGAGATCTGTACTGCTGTCTTAAGGTTTGTTGACTTTTCAGCCTTACTAGCTTGCTGTACTAGAAAACAGAAAGCACAAAGTTTGTCAGTATAGTGAGCTGAAGACCAATTGCAATTTCAACTGACAAGTCATTCTGGAAGAACGTGTGCAGTATGCAAGACAGTATCAAGAAAGATGTATTTACAGTATGACTATTTCTACTACTGGCCTTGTCAGTATAGTAACTGAGAAATTAAATTACTTACTCAAATTACTTAAATTGCTGGAACAACTTTCCACATTTGTTTGTAATTACTAAATTACCATTCATGAGTCTACATCTGATTCTTTGTGGTTGAATAATAATACATCTAGCATTTTTTTTTCTAGTCTATGTACATTTAATAATATATAACAGCATTTTTTTCCCCAGTGATACAACATGTTGAGATCAGAGCACTGTTGCAGATGAAGTATTTCAGAAATCTTACAAGTTTTAGTCTTAGGCTGAAACAGATTTGTAACGAGTGACATCATAAGCAAACAAGCTGCCTTGACTGTGCTGTACATAGAATGCTTGAGACAGAACTTAAAGACAAACTGAAAACTCACGTGCACTTCATTGTATTCCTAGAAAGGGATCCTCAAGGTTTGCTGTATGCTGTGTATTCTCGCTTCTTCTTAACTATAAGAGCAACATCGCTTTTCAGCTTATAAACTGCAGACTCAAGTTGTTGGCCAAAATCACTTATCATTTGTGACTGTGTCTCTGTAAAAAGACGTAGTACCTGCAAATTCTCTTCCTGCTAAAACATAATAAAAGAAATTAGTTGGCTCAACTCTCATGTCATTTTTTCACTTATACACCAAAGGCTACCCGAAGGTCTCATGGGTTAACTTATGGTAACTGAGTAAAAGGGAGACAAATGGTAGGACAAACTACTACAGGTTCAAAAACTAAAATTAGGATCATAATTACATGTTATTTTGCCAAGAATAGCATATACCACAGCTGAAAGGATGTGCTTGGGAGTACAGCTTTGCTCTTTATCCAGGCCAGATGAATTACACCTCTCAGTCTCCTGGCAGCAACATCTAAAGGAGTAAAGTTGGACACCAGCCACCTAGATCTGAAGGGCTATGTATTAGCTTCATAGCTAACTTTAACCTAGTGGTTATATATTTTTAATGTAGGCACAGAAGAGCTCCTGTGACTCGACAACATGTATTGTCCTTGAGATGTCCATCAAGCAGCCTTGCTACAAGACAACCCAAAATTGAGCAGCGGGTTTTAGAAATAAATGGCCTGTAAGCATCTAATATCTTTGTTGATACACAATTTTGTTCTTCAGTTGCAGAAAAAAAATATACCAAGATCTGAAGAAATACATGTCTGCTCTATAATTAAAGTCTCCTAGCGTGAGATCAAAAACTTTGATCAGCATCTCCACAGCTGTTATACTAACAATGCACTATGATTCTGTAAGCTGCAAATTAGGCCACAGTAAGAGGCAATAATGATCAGCTACTAACAAAAGAAACATGTTATGTGTTCTTTAACACTGTCAAGGCCTAAAGTAGTTGTTGGATTAAAGTTCAGATCATGCCACTCCTAACTCAGATGCCAGAACTACTGTGCTTACAATATTACATTGAGCAAAGTAGTAGATATTGGTTTACTGTGCGTTTTATTTCTTTCCCTTCCCCCCGACAATCACATGAACAGCTTTTTCCTCAGGAACGGTTCTAAGCCACTGGTGCTTTCTGCCCTGGGTGATAACAGTTCACAACAGTCTAAAGGCCCAAAAAGTTGTTACAAATGTTTCCTAAAGAAATGTCCTAGCCTGCGTTTATGCATGCAGATTTACAGTACTCAATACAAGCTTGCTCAAATGACTGATGGAAGTTGGGATGGCTCTCCAACTCCGAGCTGTGTTTTAGGCTAAATACTTAATGGGCCAAAGCAAACTCATGTTTAGGTGTTTCTGTGCAGAGAAACCTTAAGTGGTGAAAACCATAAGATAACACACCAGTTTAGGAGATTTTCTTACCCTGCATAACTGAAGGTTATATAGAGAAGGAAAAATCAGAACAATACAGTGTTACTGGCAAGAGATGGGGCTGTTGAGAAGTAACAGGAAGAGTTACAACACTTGCTAAAAGGTCATGCTGAGAAAGCCAATATTACACAATAAATTCCCCTTGCCAGCTTGAGTAAATAATAGCTTCGTTGTCAAGCAATCTGGAAGATTTGCTGAATAGCGAGCCAACCATGGTCGAGGAGCCAATCTGCATCATTCTGAAGCAACTTTATGAACAAGATGATGACAGCATAACAGCCCTAAAGCACTGAGTAGATACACAACACGCTTGGTTACAGCACGGCTTCCCTGGTAGGCAAACAGTTCTGTAGCAACATGCCCATTTGAGTTCGTTCAGCTCTCTTGGTTTTAACGTGCAAGTCAGACTACAGAGTCTGCAGGCCTAGACAGTACCTCTGGTCCTGTTCAAAACACGTGGAAACAATGAGTTTCTCTCCAGAGTAGGAAGCCTACTTTAGCACTACCTCAACAATCCTGCGACTCTGTGATACCTTCATTTTCAAATTCCTGAAGTTTTTAAGACAAAATTCTTTAGAATTGAAGAACAGCTTCAGATGCTTAAACTATTGCAATAAACGGACTTACTGATGGCCTGGAATGCTTCAGCTGAAGGAACTGCTGTCTGACTACACTCATGTTTTGATAGAAGGTCTTAAGGGCCTTGGCAAGTTCTGCATCACAGCTGGTCCGATGGCTGCACATCTCTTCAGCGTCTCTTGATGACTCAGACTGCTTCATCACCTTAATCACCTTGGTAGGTGACTCAGATTTCTTCTCTAAAATAGAAAAGATTACATTTTATTAATAAACTAAAAGTGATAAATCAGTTCTGAATTTATTGCCATTGAAAGTAGCAAGCTAATTTCCTTTGTCAGAGGAAAAGGAATGCCAGTGAGATATCAATTAACTTTCTGTACAGTCTACGTCCTGGAGCAGTGCGGGTAAGGAAGAACTGTAGCAAAAGCATGCAATACTGAGACAGTTTGTGATGGGCACTGACTTTCATGATGTCCCACGTCCCATTTCTTCAGTTTGTCTTTAAGAAGAGCATTTTCTTCTCTTAAAGCTCTGTTGAGCTCCCTCAGCAGCTCTGTCTCTTGTTCCATCTGCAGCAGTTTCCGGTAGAGTTCAGGCACTTCCATAGCTGCATCCTGTGGTGGTGTTTTTTTGTTTAGAAAACTGCAATTCAATTAATTATCACCAAATCTTCATTCATTCTGTCTATCTAAAGTACTTGTATGTAGATAAGTGGATGTTCCAATGGGCAATGGAATGTTCTTCAGGATATTGAACTTTGAAAACAAATTTTTCAGTGGCTTCAGATGGATATTTTTTCCTTCGTTATAGTTTTATTAATCCTTCAAATAAATATTCATTTATTATTTCTCCAACTGAAAAGTCAATGTTTGATGTCCCGTTGTCATAGAATTTCACTAGCAAAAAAGCAGCAAAAGAATTTCTACAACTACTAGGGTAACTTAGCTTTATCATCTCTTTCTGAATGCCTGTATGTATTTACATATATAAATACATACATCTGTATTTATACACAGAGAAATACAAATACATAAAAAATACATTAAAAATACATAACGATGCACTGTGGTGCTCCAGCAAATGTGTACTGAGCAGCTCAGCTGTGTAGTAACTGTCAGCCCCCTGCCAGGCTCTGTCAGCCCAAACAGTGCTCTAGAGTGGTACATTAGGAACACTCAGCATGTATAACAGAACAATGTGCTCTGCTCAATCAGATGCATCCCTGCAGCCCCTGCTTGTTGCATATTCCCATTAAAATCAAGTGGATTTCTCAGAAAGTGGTGTCAGTAAGTACACTTACCAGACCAGCATGGCTTGCAGTCAAATCTTTGGGATTATCAATCACAATGGTGCCCTCAGCTGTGAGCAAAAGGCCATCAAGTGAGGAGTCCATCTCCATGCAACCTTCTGCAGCAGAGTAAAGACAGCGTGCTCAGGGCTCAGCCAGCACATGTTCTCTGCTGCTGGTGCCCTTACTGAACATTGTGTGCAATATTTAAGGTAGAAATAAAAAGTCTCCTCTTAAGCTCTGAATTCATGACAGAGAGCCTTTTCCTTAAAACTTCAACCAAGCTGGAGGTCAGCATCCTCATTTTAAAATGAAATCAGGAAGTCACTAACCATTTTTCATATCCCAAATTAATATTTTACTGAAAAGTGTGAATAACTGAGCTGTTCATCCACCAAACAAACAGTTCTGCATCCATAATTATGGACAGCATGGTCTGATTCTATCTCCAAACCATCACTGAATATGAAATACGTAACGTACAACTTACAAAAGTGAAAATTTTGGAAAGAAATACCTTGGAGGCCCCATAAATCAACAACTAAAGCATTTTTCTGTAAATAATTCAGAAATTCATAGGAAGCTTTTAGAGCTGAGAAATGGACTGTTTCTTCTATCTTCGGATTGACGCTTTCCCAGACAGGCTTTGTGTATAAGCACCGGGGAAGATCATAAACTCTATACCTAAAGACATAAAATGCAAGCATAAAAAAAATTAATTAAAACCCAATTTGGTCTCTGAAAAGGCCAGCTATTCAAACAGACAGAGAAGTTGAGCAGCAACAATTACTGTAGCATTTCAAGGTCAGCTCTTCTTTCCTGCTTAATAAAGTGCCCTGTGCAGTCATTCAGCACCCACAGGACAGGTGGAAATATCACCGTACTTTATTAATGTTCAGTACTTATTGTGTTGACAGGAGCAGCGTGGCACGCTGTCAAAAAAATGCACAAAAGCTTTAAAATATTCATAACTCCTTTGTTTGCCCTGAGACCTCCAGCTTTCTGCCCATTCTATTCAGTAATCCACGGGGCATTTCTCCAGCTCCACCCCAGCCATTTCTCTGTGGATAACAAAGCCATGAAAATCCTTTTCAACACAGAGTTTTTAAAAATGGGACTGATTTCTTTAGGCCAACACGACATACCTTCTGTAGTTTCTTAGATTCAAGGTTAAATTCTTACTGCAGCTCAAAGACTCAAGCTTAACAGATAATAGGTTATATGGGCTCACGACTTCCAAAGGAGCAAGGCTAAATTTGCTGTCAGTTTCACCAAAAGCACAAAGTGGCATTATGCTGATGTGGCAGGGAAGTGGTGCAACACAATACCCGATCTGAATGCCTCTTCCCACAGCACCTCGCAGCCATTTGACTCCAAGGCACTCTGCAATGTGAATCTGGAAATCAACCCTTCCTTCCAGCAGCTCCAGCGGATCAATGACCATCTCGTCCTCCCCGAAAAGTCTGCCAACAGAAAGGAACAGCTCAGTGTAAGTGACCTAGGTCATCGATCAACATCAAACGGGGTGATAACAGAAAGGAAGGGGACGCTGGGGTTAGAAAGGAGAGCTGCTGTTATGTGACATGAACATGTGGATAATTATCCCTTAGCAGCAAACAAAATGCCAGGTTTATGTGACAGCTGGCGTGCTGTGTTGTTGGTTCTTTTTTAATCCCCCTGCAGATCTCCAAGATAGCAATGTAACCTTCATTATCAGATGTTATGATACACAAAACAGCAGTGCTTGAAAGAGAAAACAAAGAAGCCCAGAAGGACAATATGGACACAAGAACCATTCAAAACAGAGGAGGACTAACCCAAATGTATTTTGCCATATAATTATTTCCTCCCTCAAGTGAAGGAGCATCAATGTTGACCGTAATGCACCTGAACTAAAAGCAGCTCAGTGTGATCTGCTAGCTTGCAAATTTCCAGGTGTAAAGGAAGGGCATAAGGACTAGGTGCTGGCATATCAACCTTACTGCAGACATTGCAGAAGGACTATCTGGCTCTGGCCATCCTGTGAGACGCCAGATCCATCTGGGAACAGGGACACAGCTGTCAGGCAGCAGGGCTGAGACTGTCAGAAACTCAATTCCTGGGATCCTCCAGAGCAATTCAGCAAAGACAGAAATTTCTACTGACTGCCCATCATATTATCTAATGAATCTGGAGCTGATCTGCACTCACTTAGACCAGTGAGATCTGTCTCCCTCTTCCATATTGTGCTCATCATTTCCAGCTTTTATTCCCAGTTAAGCATTTCAGCAGGTGGACTTCCCAAGTTCCCTTAACAAGGAACGACCAACAGACTTCAGGACAGAGGCTGCAGATGGTTACCTCCCATCACTGAAGCACGGAAACAGGTTTATCAGAACGACAGCCTCTTCCAGTCCCTCAGAGTTGAGCAGCTCAGCCCGTTCCTCCAGCCTCATGCGGTATGCCAGTGCCTGCAGCCAAACATGTGCAGATCCCACATGGACAGCTTCCACCGGGTCCCAGAAGGGATCACTGTCCTGATTCACAGCTGGGTTCTCCCCTTCCAGAAAGCGCTGGTAAAGCTCCTCCATTAGGAACTTCCTGTTAATGAACTTGGCCTTCGACCATACCCACACCTGTGAATGAAGTGACTCAGTCACGGACACAAACAGCAAGGCACCCCTCCACCTGTTTATGTATGACCAATGTCATACATGACCTATGTATCACCAAGCTACCTCGAAGTCCATATAAACACAGCAGAATGGAGGAGATTTTTGTTACAGACATGTGTACAGAACTTTCACCCACAATAAAAAAGTGTGGGGCTTAAGATTGCTCCAAGGAGAGATCATAGATTGTGTAGAATGGAGATTTCAGAGATTTATTAGAATACAACTACCTTTCATTTTCCTTTCAGCCCAACCAGTATTGCTCATTAATTTGTTTCTTCTGCATTAAGATAATTTTCACTTGGTCTTATTTTCCTTTGCTTCCAGCTTAAATATTATTTGCTCTTACAACTACTACTGAAAATCTAAATAAATCACTCTGCGTGGATTTAGGCTCCTCCTGGTTCCATCACTATGTTTTTAAAGAACACAATAAGAGCATGGCCTCTATGACCTAAGCTTGGTAGAGGCTAATTTTATGCAAGAACAACTGGAAATGCTTTCACGAGAAAGCAACAGCATTACACATTGCAGCTTTGATGGTTTGAAAGATTAATGGACATTGATGATGGCAAAATGAGGATAAGTTACATTATCAAATATTCCTGTAAGCTGGCAATTCACGAATTAGAATGTGTAATCAATTATGAGTGTGCTATTAAATATGTGAAGTGAAAATATAAAATTGCTTTTATTTGTCCATCAGTGGAGAAAAACCTCTTGTTTTAGAACAGACTAATAAAGCTCCCTCCTCCCATATTTAAAAGGTAAAGCATGGTTGGTAAGCAGCCAACGATCAGCTGCAGTTGAGCAGCAGAGCTGAAGGGGTTTCAATGACAAGGGTGCGACCTGGTGCTCACCAGTGGCCACAGAGACCCAAGATAAGTGAGATCTTGGCAGTGAGTGCCTTCACTGTGAGGTTCTCCAACAGGTTCTCCCTGCCCTGGTCCGTGTCAAATGTGCCTGTTTCGCTCCAACAGGAGCACCCCCTGTTGAGAAGTTCGGCAACAGAGAGTTTGAAGGTGGCCAAGCGTACACAGAAATGCCAGAGCAGGTCAGCCATTTAGGAGCAGAATTAATACACCTCAGGTATCTCCTGTACATAATACAAGCTACCCAGGAGAATAGCTGTCCCATGAGCAAGCAGTACATCAGTTCCTTCTGAGAAGGAAATAGATCCAGCAATGGCTTGGGAAGAGAGTAATTCAAGCATGGTGGTACAGAAAATGGGCATCAAAGAGTGGGAGAGTAGAAGAGCAAAGCTCCATTAGGGCACAGCACAGTACTGCAAGGATTCCACAAGAATGAGCATGCAGCACACATAATCTTTATCTTCTCTTTAAGCCTTTTCTTAGCACATCAGGCTGACTTGTTCTGCCTTCTTACCTGCTGTGTAGTTTCATGTGTCACTTTCACTGTTATTTCCTTTTGTAGGTCATGGCCTCTGGAGTCTGATAAGGCCAGATTTTTCACCTTCAATTCAAATTTGAGGTCCTATTAATTAAAAAAAATTTACTCAGCACATTCATACCCAAGACACCTTCAGTTATGCAAGTTAGCAATATTTTCATTTAAAAGCAATACCAGAGATTTACATGATCCTACTTAAAGAAGAAATTCTCACCACAGAATTTCTGCAGTGCTTGGATTTGACATCCCTGCTATTTCAAATGTCTGAAATCCATTCGGAATGAGGCTTCCTTTACCTCCCCCACTGACACAGTACTGACAAAGCACTCTGCCATGAGATTGCACAGAGAAAGCAGAATCTTCATCCTAATCAATGTATTTCCATTTTTCTTCAGGAAACTTCTCCAGAAGCTACATAGTTAGTTTAAATGCTCCGAAGTTATTATTGTCCATTTAGATTGTCCTTGGATCTATCTCATTATTCCAAAGTTACGAACAAGCATGAGGAGGAATTCTCCCTTCTTGTTCTCTAAAAAGTACAGAATCCGCCGCTGTTTGCATATTTATACAGCACAGTGGCCCTGAAACACTGCTGGCAGCCTGCACTCCCAGATTCACATTTACCCCATGTCTACTCTCTGCCCATAAGATGGTGAGGGAGATTGGGAAAGCGAAAGAATGGAGCAAGTGGAAGCCCAAAAGCAAAGGGAGATGCTCTTACAATTCTTCCTATTCATGCTCAGTAATGTGCAAAACAAGTATGACCCACAGAAGCCAGGGAGAAGCCCTTCTCACCTTCCTCAGCTCCTGGCTCATCTGGTTCACCTCCTCCACCAGTGGCATCAGCTTGATGTAGTCATGAAATACAGCCAGGACGCTGGGATCTGCTCTGTCCTGCCCACCGCTCACAGTGCCTTCAGGAGGACATGAACAGGAGAGGTGAGCAGGCTGCCAACCCCTGCAGGTAGCTTTAGAGGGGCACTTGTTCTCAGCCAGAAAGCAATGAGAAGCCCCTTGTCAATGCCACTGCCCTTCCCCAAGCTGGACATCCAGCATCCAGCCTGCTCATGTCCCATAGGGAGAGGGGCAGTGCAAGAGCTCACTTCCAGAATCAGACTAAAAAGCTGATCACAGAATCATTAGAGTTGGAAAGACCACTGAGATTATCTAGTCCAACCACCAACCCATCCCTATGATGCCCTCTAACCCATGTCTCGCCGTGCCCCACAGTTCTTGAACACCTCCAGAGATGGTGACTCCATTACCTCCCCTGGTCAGCCTGTTCCAGTGCCTCACCACTCTAAGAAGTTTCTCCTAATATCCAACCTGAACTGGAACAACTTCAGGCCTCTTGTCCATCATTTTATCAAGGAGAAGAGGCTGACCCCCAGCTCACTGCAACCCCCCTTCAGGCATTTGAGGAGAGCAATAAAGTCTCCTCTGAGCTTCCTCTTCTCCAGACTGAACATGCCCAGTTTCCTCAGCTGTTCCCCAAAAGCCCTGTGCTCCAAACCCTCTGCAGCTTCACTGCTCTGGGCACACTCCAGGGATCCTATTAGAAAGTGGGCTTCAGGCAGAGGATTTTGCTGTAGGTATATTTGGAGAACTGGCTCAGACCAGACTGAACACCTACAGCTTTGATGACACAGATGAACATGAGGCACAAGATTCCCTCAGAACAGCCAGTTTCACCCAGGTGCTCAGATAAGCATTCACTGCACCCCTCACTGTGCAAGTGAGCGCAATGCCATGGAGCATCAGGCATCTTAACTAAGTCCCCTGTGTGCCCTCAGCTCTCCCAGAGCCACTCATCACAGGCACTGGGTTGCATCTCAGACAAATATCTGGAGGCAGCAGCATGATTATGCCGACTGCTCTCTGGTGCTGAACAACTACTGCATGCTTCTATGGGGATGGAGTAACTAAGAGAGAAATCTGAGAGCCACTTAATAACTCAAAATGGTCGGGCAGATTATCACACAATTACAAACAACACGCAGCCCCAGTTTCTTTAAGAATGATAAGTACCTGAATGTGGAATATCTACAGTAAAAACTCTCTTGATGTTAGGATTGTCTATTTCATATTTACAAATCAAACATTTTACTGGACTAAAAATATTAAAATGGCTTGCAGGAAAGTCTCATTCTGAGACAAAGGGCAAATGCACACATTACTATTTAGGAACACAACAGTATAAACAAGTAACAGCTACTAGACAAGCCTTCATGAAACAACATTCAAACCTGTAAAATAAACTTAAACAAAATACACTTCTCTTTCTATTGTAAGCAGTAGATAGGTATCAAGCAATTAGCATGACTCATATCTGCTTCCATGCAAAGCACTGCACAGTCTCCAGCCCACACAGTGTGTGAGGTGCAGAAGGACAAGGCAGATTTGGAAGATGTTTGCACATGATCCAAGGTGATGAAACGTGAGTCCCCCAGAATAACGTCACCCCATGCACAAGCAGTGATGCTTACCAAGCTTATCCACACCGAAACCTTCCGCTGCTGCCAACTCAGATTGAAAGAAGTCATAGTCATATCTGCTCAGGTCCTCCTCTGTTCTTTGTGCAGGTGGTCCGACATAGAGGTAAGCGCTGTTTGATCCCAAAATAACACGATCCTGAAAGGTTTAGACAAAGGATGCCCCAAAGTCTGGGATACAACATGTCGAGTGTCACCGCATTCAGTGGTCAGTAGTGGATTTCTCCTTCTGTGAAAGAAGAACAGACTACACCTTCACCAAAGTACAGTAAGAGTTATTACTTCCACAAAGTCCTCTGGCAAGGACTGACTAACTACGCCTTTGTTTGAAGTGAGCATGGACCCAGCTAAGATTCATTTGATGTCTGTTGATTCAGGTCTGTCGTGTTCACCGTGTAGATATGTGCACGTGATTTTGGGCTAATGATTAAAAACAAGAAATTGCTTAAGACTTCCACAAGAAGGGCACAGAAGTTATCTGCATCTGTACCAAAAAAGTCATTCTGAAGCTGAACAAAGATTCTGATGTCCTTCAGAGCAAGACTGCTTCATTGGACTGATTTTAAATGAATAAGTAAATAGAATTTACCTTCCCTTAGATTCTGCTGGAAGACACAATGCTCATTCTAAACCTTTGGTTTGGATTTGTGTTTTTTCCCTTCAGAGTTTTATATTCAAAGAAGATACTCACCGAGTGCTGCAGTTCTGTTTCCCCTGTGATGGTCACTCCATTCACAACAACCTTGCACTTATCCTGTGGCACCAGGGTAACTCTGCCATCAGCATTTGTAAACGTTGCATGTTTGTCCAAAATGCTGAAAGATGTTAAATTTTCTTGTGATTCACTTCTTGTCTTCAATTTGAGAACCATCATAGAACACTACATCATAATTTCAAAGATGATACATTTGGGCTGCCACTCAAGAGGCAGAGGGGCTTTGTTCTAAGTGCCCATTTGGCTTCACATCTTTGCCATTACAAGAATGGCAGTTCCTAGAAACATAAGCAGCTCATTAGTCACATGCTACAGCCTTTCACTTCCCATAAAAAGTTCAAAATAATCATGTCCCATGTTTATGCAGTTTTTATTGTATTTAAGAAAATGTAATAAAAATAAAAATTAAAGAACTCCAAAAAGCAAGAGGATCACTATAGCAAATTTCTTGTTTTCTATTCATTTGTGTACTTACCCCAAACCTCTTAGGATTATAGCATTTGAGGCTGATTGACCAACATCACAAGTACCTTAAAAAAAAAAAAAAAAAGAGGCATTTTCTAATATAAATTGTATGCAGTTTACACACCAAAGAGTGTTGAAGTTTTTGCATTCCTTTTTACCTTTTCTTCTTTGCATCAATTGAAGAGCTATGCCTTTCACTCTAGTGTTACTACTTGAATATGACAATATAGTCAGTTAATCTCTCTTTAGAGACAAGACTCGATCATGAGAAACAAAAAGGATTCACTCCATTTGGCCTCTGGGTCAATGCATAAAAATAATTACAAATGTATCTGGGAGCCTTCAGTAACTCCTGGGGTACACTACCAGCAAATGATGGAGAAGCACATCCAGACTAAATACTCCATGTGCAACAGAGTACCAGATCCACAAATATCATATCTTATTTCTTTTAACTGTAGCCCTAAGTCAGGGAAAATCCAGCAAATAACAGCCTACACAGGAGTGGATGCTCAGGCAATAAGGAGGAAGGCAGGAGGAACGTGGTTAGTGATGGATCATTGGCTTGCAAAATGAGGGCTCATATTTTCAAATTAACATTCTTAGGGGAAGAAGTGGACAACATCCAACAGACTTGGATATTATGACTTACCTTTCTATTGTAAATGACTTATTTCTCTAGTGCATCATAGCATTTTTTGCAATAGAAACACTTCACACAGTAAAATTCCTCAGCTTGCTCAGATCTCAAAAGGATCACATACTTAATAGTGAAAAAAGTTGCTAAGAACTTAAGAAATAAAGAAAATAATCCTGACTCAAACAGCTGAATTTCCTAGTGTGACTAGTCTGTTATGTCAGAGTGGACGCACAGAAAACACTATTCATATGTTGACTTCAGGACTTTAAAAAACATTTACCATCCTGAATGAAATGCTTGAGAACCCATGAAAGCTGAGGATCTTCATTGATATTCAGGAGATATGGCAACTTCTCCATCATCCACCTCTCCTGTGCAAGAATTGAGAAATATATAATTTCAGTGGGTGAATCTGAAAGCTTGAAATAACAGCTAATGTTACACGTAGAGGTCCAGTTTTGGGTGTTTTGGTTTTTGGTTTTTTTTTTTGTGTGTGGTTTTTTGCTTTTTTTTTTTTTAACAAGAAAAATCACCATACAGCAGCTTACTAGAGAACATTCCTCCCCTCCCCCAAATATAAATGTCAATCATTGAAGAGGATTGCATTCTGATACGTGTTCATAGCCTCCAAGTTTATAATATAACTGGCTTTAAAGGGAAAATCTTCGGTTCTTTTTGTCGAGGACTTTGAAATGACACAAATCAGAGTTAACTTGACATAGCTCAGTGCATTCACAGACACATTTTATTTAAGTAATGATTCCTTAAAACTGCAAACTAAAAGTCAGAAGCTATAATGTACAACTGGTGGTAGAAGCAGACAGACTACTCTGTTATCTTAACTCACGCAAAATTCAATATGGTATCGTGGAGCCACAACCAAGGACTAAATTATCATCAGTTTTCCCAAGCTAAAAAGAAGGTTGTGTTGGGGCATTGCTGGCAGAGAAGTGTATGAACTTATCTGAAGCATGTGGACAAATCTTAAAGATTAAAAGACAGGAAAAAACATCAAACTAAAAAGACTGGAGTTTAAGGCATCTGGAACCATGATGCTGGGACACTGGCCTGCATCATAGCAGAGTACTGCTGCTCCCACTCCCGCCGGGCCTCTTCCAGCTGAGCCTCCCATGTCATCTGTGTGCTCCGTGGCCGCCCCTCACTCTCAGCCAGCAGTTGCAGCTCTGCTGAAGAGAAACAGCTTGAACCTAGGTGTCTCAGGTGAAATCTCATCAAAAGAACTTGCAGATATCAGTCGACTGTGTGTTTCCATCTCTTCTCTTAGCTCTGATGTTTGTCTATTCTCACCTTGCTATAATCTCTAAAGCTGAAATACTTTCCACTCCCACCTGTTGCTGTTGTGTCCTTATTTAGACTTGTTTGAGGCTTTCACCTTGAGCAAACCATCAACACCTGATAAGGGGTCTGACTGTGAGCGATGGCATGTTCCTGCACCAGGGATGCAAATGAAAGCAGGGACTCTTTCTCAAAGGCAGAGCTAACGTTTTTTTAAATTATTTTTTTAAAGCAGCATCTGTTTTGATAATGTCTGGGGGAAAAAAAACAGCCCATATCACAGCTATCAACTGCTGCTTACACACCAAGAGGCAGAAATACAATGGTGCTGTTAGGCTATCTAAACAAAGCAGAGGATGAACTGAGGGTGCAAGAAGAGCGTGCCCTTTGTGGGGCTACCCATCTAGGATAAGGTGTTTGGTAGCTGCCATTCTCCAGTGCTACGTCTCAGGGACACAGAGTCCTAATCAGACAGAGGAGGGCTGCTACCAGCACACATCCTCCTTCAGGGTTAATACAGGCCTCCAACACTTTGTGTCCTCTTCTCTTCCCATATCTCAGCTTGTGATTTTGAACTACTTGGAAAGGTACAGCGGGGTCAGCATTTTATAAATGTTTGGACTGCCTCTGCCCCTCTGATTCATAGAATCATAGAATCAAAGGTTGGAAAGGACCTACAAGACCATCTAAGTCCAAGCATCCTCCCATTACCCTTGCTACCACAAGCCCTATACCATATCTCATAGCTCCTCATACAAACACCAACTGATAAAATGACATCAATTTTTAAGAAATTCACCTGTGGACCTATGTCAGCTTACTTCCCACCGTACTGCTTCCACATCACAAGCTACCAAAAAGGTCTACTAGCGTTTTGGGAACTCAAAATCTACTTGTTACCTGTAGCTGTATTTATGCTGAAATACATACGTGCTTCATCGGATATCGCTCTCCCTGCACTCCCAAGCTCAGCCATTCTGGACAATAGTTTGTTATTTTCAGCTTTCAGCTCTCTTATCAGCTTTTTGGTAGGGCTTGCATTTACCACTGCTTTGTTCCTGATCTTTTTTGCCCTTTTCAATATGAAAACACATAAAAGACAAAACAAAAACAAAACCATGGTCTCAGCAAGGGACAAGATTTTTTGGTAAACATGGCTTTTTTTCTCCCTCTGTTGTTATTCTCCCTGTTCAGAAATATCTCATGCAGCTCTGGAACTTTAGAAGCTAAAAAGAATCTGATGGAAAATTTGCCCCGGGCTGAAAGCATCTGACATGCTCTCTCCTACTGCTACAGCAATCACAGAGCTACCACTCTGGTTTTGCCCCTGCCAGCCCAGTACAATCCTTCCCTTCTCCATCTAACCCTATCATGCACATGAGAAAGCAATTCAGCTGCTTGCAGAACTGAAGTGGCGCTGGGAATAATGAATCTCCCACTCCTGACACCTGCTGGCAGGCAGACTGCTGTGGGAGCAAGATCTCTGAGCTGCAGACAAAGCCCAACTGAAAACATTGCAAGGAGAGATTTCCAGTCCTGAGTCTGAGAAAGGAAAGGAGGAGAACAGGAGCCACCTACTTAAGAAGAGAGACTCAGGGAAACAAACAGTTTCCTTTGTCATACAATTCAGTTCTTTAAAAATGTGTTATTCATGAATAAGAATGAAAAATAATCTCCTAAAATGCTGCTCTAGGTTATTCACAGATTCACTCCTCCAGCATTCTGAGCCGTTGATCAATTAGAATTGGTACCTTCTGTCATTTTGCCCAACCATCTGACTGCAATTTGCACCAAGACCAGAGAGGAAAACATTATAGAAGTGCACCTTTCAGCATATCTTAAGGTTGACAAAGTTTCTTCATAGCAGATGTCTGCTGGACTCAAGGCTGCAATCTGCAAGCATACAAAAGTATTTACTGCCCTTAGATTTTGAATGATGTTTTAGTAATTATAAATAATTCCAAAAATCAGAAAAAGATTCACATGGGAAAACATACAACTAAGTCCTGAAACATAGACGGAGAGTCCTAGAAATCTATCTGAAAATGTACTCTAACATTTTTGCCAGAAATGAGAAGGCAAGATGAGAAAATATAGGTGGTTTTTAAAACAAACAAACAAACAAACAAGTAACTAAGGTGTCAAAATCCTACTGCCTGCAGCTCAACTCAACAATCTCAGAAATACTTTAATAGTTCCTGTACAGGTAACAGTTGTAGAATGTCCTCAAATCTGTTCACATCATCATCACTAAACTAAGAAAGGTAGTATTATAAGGAACTCAGTTAAACTGTTTTACGACTATGAGCATATAAAGCCAACATGTTCACACATGCAAATTTTCTATTCATGTTTTCCTATCATTTCAGGGTACTTTAATATATACATATATATATATATATATATTCCTTCAAAGATGCTGGAGTACACAATTCACTTGAGACAAAGCAAAGATTCTATGGAGATTCATCCTACTTAGGAATGCAACATCTGGTCCACAATACAAACAGTGATCTCAGAAATTGGGAAAAAATATTGAATAGAGTCAGTTTACCATGATTGTCCTGCTGTTCCCCCCAAGAGCAGATTGCAAGAGTTTAGTCAGCACTGAGTCCCTGTATGGGATATGCAGCACTTTCTTTCCTGTTGCTACCTCAGCCAGAGCACTACAAGAAAATAAAGGGTTGAACAAAAAGGGATGAACAACAGAAGTGTACATATAAAGGCAATTTTAGGAAATAAAAGACAGCTAGATCAGATACTGCAGCAGATGCATTATGGAAACTAAAAAAAAAACCAGAACAACTCCCATTCATACATAACTTCAGTAATTTATTGTTCAGAATTTCATACTAAAAGAACTGCTCTGAATGGCTCAGTTCAGAGTTTCAAAAGAACCTGGACATATGGCTCACTGAGCAGTGGTCCTGTCAGGCTGCTTCACCTCTGCCACTGCCTAGAAAACACTCACAGGGCATGAAGCCTGGAAAAACAACAAAGTAAATGGAGAAATATTTTTGTTTCCATGTGCTTATCATTAAGTACTTCTATTAACCACACGTCAAGGAAGATCTCAATGGAGAGACAGGTTGTTTCATACATAGAAATTTGTTTTCTACCTCACAGACAGGGATATTAAAAAATAATGACTACCTGATGACATTCCCTAATGTAGTTAGGCTTAGATTTACACGTGTTCCTTCCTTCAATCTGTCTTTTTCAGATCCTGATGATTTTTGCCTTTCACTTCCTGCCAGGTCCACCAGATTGATAACTGACTGTTTAGTGATAGCTTCATCTAGGAAAATCTGTTAAAACACACCATCAACACATAAGGAAAGGTCACCAAATCAGTGCTTCAGATACCATCAAATTACAGAAAAGGATACCCTGTGCAGATTCTCAGAGCATTGTGATGTTTTATTTACCAACATTGGCACACTCCACAGCAGCAGTGATGAACTGCGTGGGCCAAAACTGCAAGCAGTCATGGCTGGCCCAGCAACCCGGGGAGAGGAAACCTGACACATACTCACCCACTTGCTCTGTGGTGGCAGAGGTAAGAAACACAGAGGAAGCAGTGCCTTCACGCTACCTGTTTGAATTGGATCGCGATAACCATGTGGGATCGACTGCTGGAGGCATTCATGGTGGTCGTAGCTGTTGTTCTCATCTTATTCCCCTGATCCATTAACCTCTCAATCTGTGCGTAATTATCACAAGGCACCAGCTTCAAACCATCCACATAAAAACCTTGCTGCTGGTCTTCTCTAATCTTCAGCCCTCCAGGCTTCCTAGTCTTAGACAGCAAGTCTATTACCTGTGGAGAGAGATTTATAGTTAAAATATTCCACTAAAATAAGAAAAGAAAATATTTCTCCTAGTAAAGATAGAATAATTAAAAGAAAAAAAGACAGGATACAGCTGGCCACGTGGTAGCTGTTTTAGCTTCACCACATCTAGAAACTCATTCCCAAAGAGTTCCACTTTGCAGGAAAGTTTAATCTATATTGCAAGTTCATAACTGGAGACTTAAGATCTCTGCAAAATTATTTAATTAGTTGTTACGAGAAGTTTATAAAAGCTTATTCGATGAGCTGCAAAAGCGGATTGTTTGCTTTCCTGTGTTTTCATTTTTTCCCTCTCTTTCTTGTCCACTGCATCAAATCTGACTGAAATTGGCCAGATGTCCCTAAACTAATGAGGAAAATGGTTCAGGGGAAAAAATTTCACAAACAAGTGGCAAAAAATGCATAACTCTTAGAAGGAAAGCTACAAATGCAATCCTCTGAGACATACATCATCTTCAAAACAACCTCCTTCCCAACAGGTTACACATTTGCAATTGCTAACATTTCCTATGCCTGCCAGTACAAGAAGATAACATGGAGAAAGGAAAACAACGTAAATAAAAATGTCATCTCTTTAATCATTTTTTTTTTTTTTTTTTACTTCAAAAAGAAACCAAATACATAAAGGAGAAAAGAAGTGGTGTGCAGAGCAGCCAGGGATGCTGCTCGCAAGGGGCTATGGTGGCAGCTGAGGCCTTCTGCCCAAATCGTTGCTGGCTTTGCTGCACAGATTCCCCTTGAACTGCCACTGTATGGAGAAATGTGAACCCCCCCTCCCAAGACTCCTACAAAGGACAGTTCTGTATCAGGAGCCCAGTTTTGGTCTGAGATATCCCCAGTGTACCTCTCACTGTCCCATTCTAGTAGCTGGAAAGCAACATAACTTATGAACCTGAGAAGACCTGCTACCAGATCCTCATGTAGCTCAACAGCAAATAGATGCTGCTGGGCCCAGATACTGCCCACATGCATGAGTCATCATGCCCAGTAGGGTCACGTAAGGAGAACAAAAAGTACACAGAAAATACATAAATGTACACAGAAAACTAAGATTTGCTAGTACCGGAACTGAGTGAGATCATTACCTGTTCATTATAGATTTCCAGCATGCTGAAAGTAATCTGTTAGGATAAGAAGTAACAAAAAGGTAAAATGCATTTGAAAAAAATCCTTGGAATGGATTTATTTGTCCCATTGTAAAAATAACGCAGGTTACCTGGATCGAAACCTCCCTTCATCCCAACCCATTGTGTCATTTTAATTCAATCAACTATTCATCAGATATGTAACGTTTGATCGCAACTGTGCTTCCTCTCCAGTATTTTTTAATTTATCTTTGCATATACAATCCTTGTTGCTTGGGTAGGCTATATCACAAGATGCATTTCAATAAGCATCTTGATAATAAGATATCTTCAATAAGATAAGAATAGTTAAGATCAAACATTAATTTTTGACAGAACTATTAGCTGGCAAGGTGGCAGGGAGCTTCTAGGAAGTCTAGCAGAGGGCCAGAAAGATGATGAAGGGCCTGGAGCATCGCCCTTATGAGGAAAGGCTAAGAGACCTAGGACTGTTCGGTCTGGTGAAGACTGAGTGGATCTTATTATTGTTTACAAATATCTAAAGGGCACACGTCAAGTGGATGGTGCCAGACTCTTTTCAGTGATGCCCAGTGACAAGAAAAGGAACAACAGGCACAAACCGTAACACAGGAAGTTTCATACAAACAGAAGGAAAAACTTGTTTACTTTGAGGGTAGAAGAGCACTGAAACAGGCTGCCCAGAGAAGCTGTAAAATCTCCTTCTCTGGAAATATCCAAGACTCATGTGGACGTGCAAGCTACTGTACAAATTACTGTAGGGAACTGCTTTAGCAAGGCGGTTGGACTTGGTGATCTTCAGAGGTCCCTCTGATCCCTATGATTCTGTGAACTTCTCATTCAACATTTGTATAGGATTCACTAAAGTTTGCACAGCAATTTGTTCCATGTAGCCACTGTTTCTAATTTTACTAATCTGAATTTAAAGTCTTCAGAGTATAGTCTGGAAAGATCTTGGAAATAAATTGCAATTTGTGCTAATCTCACCTGGTACTGCCTATTCTTTTCCTGACTTTGGATTGCTTTGCAGAGCTCTTCACACACACTGGGAACCAGTCCTCTGTTTGCACCATACCCAATCATGGAGTAGCTCTTCCCAGAGCCGGTCTGGCCATATGCTAGAAGAGTTGCATTGTAACCCTGCCAGGCACTCTGCAGCACTCCTTGGCCAAGATCACGAAAGACTTCTCTCTAAAAAATGATCAAATACACCATCATCAAAGGCGAACAGGAAAATCCACACACAAGTGCTGCTATCTGGTAGGAAGGTCCCCACTCAGAGTTTAAAAAAATGGTCAGTATTTACAAACACACCTAAGAATAGAGAGTTCCAGGATAAAATAAATGTAATTAAAAAGTAGATAATGCTTCGAAATGATAAATAGAGAGATAGCAATCAAATGCATTCATAAAATGACACAACGTCCCAAGATGGAAAGAACCCACAAGGATCATTTTGTTCAACTCTCGAGTGCTCCACTCCAGACCGCCAAAAATGCAAACATTACGTCTGCACTGGTCAGCTCGTTCTGTGCAATCCACCCTCTGGCGCAGAACCTGCTCCTAACCCTCACCTATCCCTCCCCTGACACAGCTCCATGCTGTTCCCTTTGGCCCTGTCACTGTCACCAGAGCCCTGTGAGGAGCTGCAGCTGCCATGAGGCCTCCCCTCAGCTACTCTGCTCTGGGCTGAGAAAACCCAGAGGCCTCAGCTGCTCCTCACACAGCCTGCCCTACAGACCCCTTCACCACCTTCATAGCCCTCCTTTGGTTACTTTCTGATAGTTATACATCCTTCTTACATTGTGGTACCCAAACCTGCACAAAGTGCTCAGCTGGAACGTTAATCGCAACGAAAATAAAGAAAACAAAATAACAAAGATAAACAGCTGGTTTACAATTGTGTATTACTTACATCTCCTGTTAGCTGGCTCCTTGAATAAAATCTTACCTGGCCTGCATAACTGTTAGATCCCGCTGAGATGAGCATGCCGTTCTCATCCTTTAGAAAGCCACTGTGAGACCAATAGGCCAGGTCAAACGTGAAGGTTTTCACGTGCCCTGGATTCCTAGGATCATAGATGCTTGTACTGTTGGAGTCCATAGAAATCACACACCTACTTCCTGCGTCCTTCTCTCTCTGTATCAAAATCATAATTACTGTGTCAAAATATAAGCAGTCATCCACTAACGTCATGTTTTAGTCTGGATTTAGTGGCTGTCAAAAGCAAAACAGATTTGCTTCAATTCTCCCTCACGTTACAACTTGAACTGAATACTTTCACCAACTTGAGCTGCTTTTTTAATGAAAAAACTCATATTTCTGTCAATTATCTGAGATAACTCAGTGAGACATCTTTACTAAAGCATGTCCTGACAAATGCCCTTTTGATAACAGCCTGTAGCTCTATTCATGCTCAAAATCCTTTCATGAATATCTCCTACTGTTTCCTGACCACAGAATCTGCCATTGCATCTTTTTCATTCTGCTTTCTGAGAGGTGAGAATATTACACTGAGGAAGTCAGTGTTCTACTGGAATTTTCTTTGGGGTCAAGGCCCCAAGGGTACAGACGCATAATTTAGCTTCAGCTTTTAGCTGCCATTTTAGCAGGAGTCTCAGCCATTTTTTCAGCAAACAAAAACAAGAATCCTTAAGCAATGTACTTTCGTGCAGAAAAACTCTGTAATTGCTCTATTCAGTGATAAGCAGCACAGAATAATCCCCGGGAAATTTTGATCTTGTTTACAGTAAGGCCTGCTGTGCAATTTCTTAGGAAGAATGCTTCTCTACACCCCTAGGGCATTCTGCTTACGTCCACCGCAATGCTGTACCACAGCTTTCTCTTACAGGCTCCCCAAGGCCCTCTGGAACCACAGCCACTACTTCCCTGAGATAGACTAGCAGACATCTGCAATTCTGTCAGATGACTCCATTGCTCACCAACACACAAGAAGCCACTTTGTCTTTTTAAAACTGCAGTCTCCTCCGTTCCTCCTCATTGTTAAAAAAAACATAGGGCACATACACTGGATATTCCTCTCCATTATATGTGACATTATCTCTTCCACGCTTGCCTTCATATACTGATTGCGAGTCAGCACAAAATAAACCAAGTAAAATCTATTGTCTCCATTTCATTATAAACCCATCTTTCTTTGTACTGCAGCCTTTATTCTGTTAGGCTCTTTGTTTTCTCAGACTGTTAGAAAAAAATGATTTAAAAAATCCCAGAGCTTGCTTTTGCTTCCATTTCTCTCTGTCCTTCAATGTTCTGAAATCTCATTCATTATTATGCCAACACTCCCATTCCTTTTAAACTCCCTGGGCAATCTCGTAGTTTAAGCTTCCAAGAAATGTAAATTGAACGTAAGTACCTGAATAAAAATGGAGAAAAACATTTTAACATTTAAAAGGATTAAAAATCTCACAAAATAAAAATCACTGGAAGAAGCCTTTAGGAAGTTATTAAATCTCATGCCAATTTTCTTGTATTACCATAGCTTTCTTTTTTCTGCCAAAGCACCGCCAAGTGAGGGTAATTCAGCTGAGCTGATTATAAAATAAAAGAGGCTAAAAATTACTACAAATTACTGCTAAAATTGTGTGTTCTCATTCATTGTATTTTCATACAAAAATAGTACCTAAGTATAAAGAAGTATCATAAAATGTTGCTGAACAATCTCCACTAACAACTCAGTCAATTCTATTTGATCAGGAATCCAAGCACATTATAGTTTTGTGCACCACGTAGAGCAAATGTTCAGTTTGAAGTCTCTTCTTTCCCTGTTACAGTATTAAAGTTCAATCTTTTGCCCATTTTCTGAGCTACTCGCAGGACTTAAAATGTACATTTAAAAAATATTCTCATAACTTCCCCTCGTCATCCTCTTCAATCATATGCACATTGTAAATAAAATTTTAAAAAATATCCAGAGTAAATAATTACTAACCTGACTGAAAGGTCTCACTCGAACTGCCACTTTCACACTGTCAACATTTGGCATTTTTTAAGCAGCATTCAGTCATGAATGCTTCCAAGAAGCAAAATATTAAAGTGCATGCAGCTACTTCTCTAGAATGTCCTGTTCGGAGACAGAGAAGTCATGGCCCCGAAAGAAATTTCTTTTACACGCTTAGTCTATTATTAATACATTCATTCATTATGTACAAGGTGTTACTTAACCAATAAATTATTTCTTAAAGTAACTGTAGTAGCTTTTACTAATTGAAAAGTTTAATGTCAGGTTCCACCATTTTGTAGTCTTCAAAGTTGCATCCATATATAAATTAACATACATAAAAAATAATCCATTGTCTAAAAGACTGCACATCAAAATAGTACTTCCATGTCTACTTTTAAAAGAATAGTCTTTTTCATCTATTCCTACAAACTGAAACCTCATAGAGACATTGACTCTGTAGCCTAAGGTTGATAATGAGATCATTATTCAAAAATACGGTTTGTAATTCTGTACATTTTTGTACCTTCAGTGTTGTGATATGCAGGCTTCAAATACTGCAAAATGTTTAGACAGTAACTATTTAGTAACTATTTCAAGTATAGTTGCTTTTGTATTAGTCTTATGAAAATATTTTGAAATCTATGTCAAAATTGTGTGGGCAATATCTCTCTAAATTTGATACGCCATTGTAAGCATCAACTCCTCTATACAGCTTTTTTGCTGACAACAAATTGTAAAAAATAGCAAAACATCTGAGATGTGATCTGGTTTTATAAACGAAGAGCAGCTTTCCCAAACTTTAAGACAAATACAAAAAAATATTGCACAGCATAAAATACAATTGTTTACATTTTGACTTCAATACAGTACAACTTAACCATGAACATAAAGAATTAACATTTTGTATTTGGGAACCCAATCATTTGTTCAAGGAGGTCAAACATTATCTATAAAATTTAAACCAGCATGTTTCAAATGTTTAGTTGGTACAGTAGTTCTAAACAAACCTTTTAAAAACTTTTGGCCTCACTTTTGAGCATCACAAACTCTCGTAAACCAACATTAAAACTTCTGAACAGTACAGGCTATTCAACCCACTATTCCCTCAAAAAGCTATCAGACAGTAAGCATATTGTGAAGTATACATTTTTATTTAACATTCCTAAAATAGGTTGTATTTACATATTATATAAATGTATGAAGTCTTAATATAAAATAGAAAACTGCATTGACTGAGGAAATCATACTCCATATGGAGTTACTTATTGAAGACCATTTGTTTATGAAATTTTACAATAATTTATATAAATTATCTCTTCCAAATTAGATGATTATTTTTCCTTTTTACTAGTCCACACAATTTTGATGACTTTATAAACAGTGGTGTACATTACCAACTTAAAAAACAGTTACAACATCTTCCGGCGCACAACTGGCTTTGGAAAATTAGACAGTCTTTTTTTGTTCTTTCGTACAGTCTTCTCTGTCACATCTGTGGTTTCTTTCTGTTTGCTTCTCATTTCATCCACTGGAGTTCCAAAAGGAGAAATGAAATTTATTTCCACTGGTGGAGGGGACCAAGAAACTTCTTTTCTCGTGGTTCTGCGAACACAAGAATCATCAAATTGACTTTATAACCAACAATATTAAGTAGAGAAAAGTGGAATTACAAAATAAATACCAACAAATTAATATCTACCTTGTAGACTGGATTAAAGCAGAAGTAGTACATTAAAAAGCTTACTCTTGCTTCCAATCCTTACCACATTTCTTCATGTTATCTCAGTCACTACTCTTAAGAGAGAGATTTTAGTGACTTCGCAAACTTTTAAAAGGTTAAGTGTCTTCAAATAAATTGTTTCCAAAAGAAAGCAAAAAAACAGGTCCAGAACCAAGACATTCTCTTTACTCGCTATCTGGCCCCTTCTGCTTTATATGAGGAACTAAAGACCTTACGGGTATATGGTTTTCAAGATGGAACCAGATGACATAAGAGGACACCAAGTAACCACAGGAAGTAACTTTTTACCACTGTCCATCCCCTTTTTATATTACCATTGGAACACAAAATCATTAAGTGGGGAAAAATGTGCTTATCAGACCAGCAAGCTGGACTGGCTCTTAAAGTGAGGGCAGAGCTACACAGCCAAATGGGTCAGATGAAATTAGGGGGCTAACAGCTGAATCACTACCATAATAAAAGTGTTAAAAAAAAAAAAAAATCATGTACTTGCTTGCTTTCTTCACTTTTGATCTTGCAGGTCTACCTCTCTTCAATTTTTGTTTTCCCAGAGATTCTATGGATTTGATTTCCTCCTCTTCTTTAGTTGGAAGCTCCTGCATTAAAGCAACAAGAACGTTCTTAACATGAATGCATTCTTACACTCGTAAAGAATACAAATGAAGGTTTACTGAAGTTATTATAAAGTTACAATTTATAAAGGCATTACAGTTTTTCTCTGAAAAAATAAACTTCCCATATCAAATTACGAAATCATCCTAAAATTCAGAAATAAACAAGTAACACACCACAGTGACCTAAAGTCATTGTGCCCTCTTTTAAAGCTAAGGCAACATTTATTAGTTCTTAACCTACATAGATACAAAATCAATTTTTGTAGCTAGCTTTCACATAACAACAAACTTGTTTCGCTTATTAAAGTTCTCTTTTTAGGTACATAAGGGCTGCTGCAAAAGTAATGTTTCCAGTTTTATTATGCTGGCCCACTACATCAGAGACAGCTGTTGATGGCATTTCAGTAGAGGGTGAACCTTCCCACCAATATTCCATTCCATTTTGTTGCCATGTGACAGACGGCAGCAAAGGGACAGTCTGACAGAATGACATCTGACATGACAGCGTGTATGAAGTGAAAGCGTGTCACCAAATTCCTCCATGTGGAAAAAACGGCACCCACTGACATTCATCAAAGCTTGCTGAATGTTTCCAGAAATCTAACGGTGGATATAAGCACAGTGAAACAGTGGGTGGCACATTTCAACAGTGACAACAGCAGGTCACCTCTGCTGGTGCAAATTTTTGCAAGCATGGCACGCAGGCTCTTACTCATTGCTGGCAGTAATGCGTAGCTAACAGTGGTGACCATGGTGACAAACAATATTCTGGGGCTGTGAATTTGCTCCAAGAAATGGAACAATAACACTATTTGAATCTGTTGTAGTTTCCATGGCAATAAGTAGGAGGCATTACTTTCAGAGCATCCTACTTGTTTCCAAGGAAAAAGGCAAAGCATTGAGAATAAAATTTCAAAGAGACACGGAGCAAAGTAAAAGATGTGACACAACTACAGTTTTTACTCACCGGTTCTTCCACAGTGTGAGGAGTACTAGACACATTTTTCCTCCTTGACCTCAAAAGAGGAGGTGAAAAGACAAATTGAGAAGACAAGTCTGGGTCTAAATCTTGCACATGTTGGTCTGCTTTTCCAGCTAAAACAACAATGAATTGTTAACATGCATGTACACTATAAAGGAAAGAGATGTTAAATTACACCTAAAAATCAACAGTACCATAGCTTCCTAAAATAAAGGGCCCAATCAAGTTTACAAACATACACTGTCAATGTACTTTTCCCTTTTAACTGCCTCTTTGAATCTGTTATTTTATAGTGAATGGTGGAACAAGAATAAATGAGCCATCATCCAGAAGGTATTTTGGTCCAGGCTGGATGGGGCTTTGAGCAACCTGGTCTGGAAAGGGATGCCCCTGCATATAGTAGGGGAGTTGGAACTAGATGACCTTAAAGGTCCCTTCCAACGCAAACCATTCCATGAATTTATGATTCTAACATTTCAAAACAAAATTATTCATGCAGTCTAATATAAAAGAAGAGGAGAAGGCTCAGAAGTGACCTGATAGTGGCCCTTTGGTATTTAAAGGGAAGCTACAAGAAGGAAGGAGACAGTCTCTTTAACAGAGTCTGTGGTGATAAGACAAAAGGAAATGGTTTTGAACATAGAGAGTAGATTTATGTTGGATATAAGGAAAAAGTCTTCTACAGTGAAGGTGGTGAGGCACTGGAACAGTCTGCCAAGAGATGTGGTGGATGCCTTGTTCCAGTAGACACTCAAGACCAGGCTAGACGAGGCTCTTAGCAACATGATGTAGCTGTAGGTGTGCCTGTTCATCACAGGACTAGATGGCCTTTAGAGGTCCCTCCCTACTCCAAGGATTCTATGATAAAGAACTCACTAGCAAAGTATATTTCAACAATTTCAGAAAGTTGTCTAGCCTGTAACAAGATGCACTCATTCTAACTTAAAAAGTGAATATAATTTAGAAGTGTGTCTTCTCTATTTCTCCACCGTGGGGGAAAGGGATGGAAATAACATTAACTGACATCCTCCACTGTTCTTATTTGATAGAAATTAAGCTAATGATAAGAAATTCAAATCAGACTTCACGCCACTCAAAACTCAGCCTCAACTCACTTCTTTCCATCACAACTAGCTAGCCAGACTAGTTCAGAGAGTACAGATTCAGGTAGAAAGATTATTTTCCTCTTTCCAAATTTTTACTTTTGTACAGCTACAAGTCGTACAACTAAAAGCTGCACTTGTAATTATGATGTATGTTTTTTACAACTGAGCAATACACTATATTTTACACGTGAACATGTTACACCTACCTTTGAATTTCTTTGTCAGTTTTGTGAGAGGAGGAGAGAAAAAAAAGGATTCATTTTCCTCAACAGGCAGATCCTGATGCATGCTAGTTTTACGAGATCTGTTTCTTCTAACACGATCTGTTACAGTTCTTGACGTCTCATCATATCCTGATGTGTTTATGTCTGTAAGCAGCAAAGGACTGCCATCAGTTCCTTCAGGGAAGACTTCTTCCCTCGTGTTCTCCTCCAATATTGATGGTAATTGTCTCTTTCTGCCCCGAAACCCTGACCTTATTGTAGTCCTGGGTGTGGTCGACTGCTCATTTGGCTGCTCAGGCGTTTTTTCAATAGTATCTGTTTTTTCTGGTTTAGCTTGTGCAACTTTCCTTGTTCTTCTCCTAGGAGTATCAAGGATTTCCACTTCCCCACCTGAAGGCAGGTCTTCCCGAACAGAGACAGATTCCACGTCTGCAGAGAGATTCTGTGCTGCCTTTCTAGCACTTCTTCTGGGAGTGACA